CCGGAATGGCTTGCGCAGAAGAAAAGCGAAGCCTAAAGAACGACGATCACGGGATCGGCAGTATATGCGCCTCCCCCTAAAAATTAAATTATTATTAAATGAATAAACGACGCCATAATAATGAAATTCGCCGCCCCTGAAGAAACAAAGAACAAGAGAAGATCCCGGACCAAGAAGATACCTCTCAGCGAGGATGCTGCCGGGATGCAGTACGATCGCCACCCCGGCATACAAAGAAGAGAAAACGGCGAATTAGCATTTTGTCGTTTTAGGAAAAAAATAAATAAATAAATAAATAAAATAATAAAAAAAGTTACTAGTAGTAGTCGAACCGAATCCGGAAAACCCGTCATCCAGCACATCTAACACCGACGCTGATAAATCCGCTGATATTTCGGATTCCAAGGATGACGATAGTAGAACACACGGAGAAAGAGAAAAAGCCAAAAAAGCGGATGGAAACTACAATATGGACGCACCTTGGTATTACCATATTAAAGAACGTTGTGATATACGGAACCGAAAGCGACAGAGTTGTGGGGATGAATCCTCGGATGATGAAGGTATATCATGCTACGACAGCTCAGATCTCGGACTTGATAGTAGCGATGACGAAGATGGTTCTGATGATGGTACCGACGATCACGAAGAAATGCCGCGGCACCGAAAGAAGCAAGGGACGAGTTCCTAAAGGAAGAAAGGACCGTCCAGTAAAAAAAAAAAGAAGAACGGCGAAGAAACCAAAGGCAAAGAACCAAACTTACCGATGAGACTCCGGTAGCACATGTGAGGGACGATGGATATCGCCGAGGGTCAAGGAGAACCCACGGATGGCGAATCGAACGTGAAGCATGGGGCTAGGGAAAGACTGGTAAGAAAAAGTTAGAAGCCAACAGTAGAACGCCGCAAAAGAAAGAAAACGCCGCAATGTACCTGAAATTTACCAAGACCGACAACTGGAAACGCTGAAATACTATCATAATCGTGATCACGATCACGATCGAGAAAGTTTAATTATCTTACGAGTTGGATAATGTACGCCTAGAATATATATGCATGCATATATATTCCCAACGATGTCAGAGCAGCAAGGAATGCCTAACGCTCCGACAGGCCCCCACCACAATAATCAACGTCACGACCGACGAGAGATATACCGCCCCGACAATTGGAAATACCGGGATAAGACCGCGAAGAAAGCATCGACGTGGAAAGAAAAAGAAGAAAAAAAGAAAAAAATGGTTAGAGAAAGAACTAACCATACATAAAAGCCGAAACACAATGAAAAACTTAACTTACCTTTTGAAGATGACAGCCCCAAAGATCAAATGCCGGGATGCTGTCATAATCGTGATCACAATCATGATCACGATTGTGCACAGAAAATCGCGAATGCCACCACCATTATGAAGAAGATGATGACACCGAAGAAAAGGAATGAAAGTGAGACAACGCCGGAACCAGAAGCAACCACGTACGCAAAGAAACCACTTACCTTTGATAAGACGCTGGCCCGAAGAGGAATAATTCTGGGATGCTGTCATAATTGTAATCACGATCATGATCATGATCGCGATCGCATGCCTCCCATCTCCCCGAAGAATAACAATTCGAAACCTTGGAAGCTAGATTGTCAGAATTACAAAAAATCACAATATAACAGTGAATGACCTTAATGATATAAAGAGTAGATATCAGGAATGTTTGTCGAAAACTAACGAGCTCTACCTTAGACTTGCTGAATCCCAAAGCGAGGAACTCAAGAATTACATCTCTTCAACGCCGGTGACACCAATATTGTCCACTAGTTCAGTCGACCGAATGTCCCTTTCGCAAACCTTCATTTATAGCGAGTTAAAATAAGGAATTTCTGGACAAAGCAAATGATATATCAAGATCAATGAATTTCGGACTTTCACCATATACTGAACCACCGCGATTACCACCGGGATTCCGTAAGTCACGTGACTTAGAGCGTGAAGCTGGAGAAATAACGACTAAGATGGAAAATACGGTCATCATCATCATGAAGATAATGATGACGGTAGGGACAAGAGAATACTTACAACAGCCCCCGAAGACCAAATGCCAGAATGCCATCATAATAATGATTACGATTATGATCGTGATTGCATGTCCCCTTTCCGAGAAATCACGACGCAACGGCATAACCTACCAAAGAAACAAGACGTGGCTAGCATACACTTTAACGCCATATAATCCCTTACTAGCATATATACAGTGGGTGGCCAAAAGTCACCGAACAGTTCAAATGCCAATAGTAAATTTTTTTTTTTTACTAATTATAT